CTTTTGAGAAAAGTATTTTGCTCTTTGGCTTTTCCAGGCATCGCCGGGCCGGGCAGTTGGTTCGGTAACGGTGTTCATTCAACCATGCGAGGTGGCTGGTGGGCAGCGCAGGGAAACTAAGCAGAAGCTGGTCTGATTGCTTGCCCTGCCTGACTGAGGGTTCCTGGGCCAAGTTAAGCACGGAAATATTTATTTCCTGTTAATTCAAGAGCCTTCCAGGTTACCCTCGCTCTGTTCATCCTGAGGTACCGGCCAGCCACTCGGTTCAACCGTGTCAGTCAGCCACAGGACTGTAGGCTATTTACGGTCAACTGGGTTCGTGACATGGTTAAACCATGTAGCGGCAGGTAGCCAGGTGGTTAGAGAGGCAGCAACTGGAGGGTTTGCCTGTTTAAATCCCGGGTCCGACAGGAAAAAATCTGTCAGGAAGTGAGCTGGCAGGTTTACTGGTATCAATTCCTAGATGCCATTGCCTGCCGTTGTGTCCTTGAGCAAGACACTTACCTCCCACTCTCACAACAGCTCCCCGGGGTCCTAGTGTGGCAGCCCCCAAACACGCAACATTTTTAAAAAACGGTATTTGTATGTGAGTCTTTTGGAGGGGTTAAAAGCGGAAGTAACATTTTGGTTGGACCTTGTGTGCAATTAACCAATAGAGTGATCTTAATCCTAATGAAGGTCAGTCATATTAATTTATGTTTGTTCAGTGAAAGTTTGAGACATGGTTAAACCATGTTTAGGTGACGGGTTTAACTGTTTGTCTGAATTACCCTTGAGAATTTCAGTGATACGTTGCTTACACACCTGGCGTTCATTTTCAATTACATTTAGCATGCTCAGAATCTCCATTGAAATAATCTCTGTCCGGGAAACAGGCCCATAGAATTTAATCGAGGACTCTTTAGCTATGGCTATTATATCAGCTGTCGCCTACATAAGGAGACGTTCACTTTGCAGGGTGTTTTTTTTGTTGGCCAGAGTAAAAGTTCCCTTAATTGTGCTGCAGGTATTGAGTTGCTGAGGGACGCTGCGAGGCTGAACGCCATACGGTTGTCTCGGAGAGCCAGTTCTGTGCTGGGGGACACGGAATGGATTTATGTTTGGGCAGGGCTGCTGGGCTGGTGATTGTGTTTGGCGTATAGCACTGTAGGTCTCCTGGCACCGGCTCTGCTTACCTATGCACACAGGGCCCATGATCTCTTAAATTACAGCGAGGAGGATAAAAGATTTACAAGGTTGAAAGTTCTAACTCCTGTACTAACGTCTACTGAGATGTGAATTGGAAGTCAGGGGTAACTTTAGGGCCTGTATTCAAAAAGCATCTCAGAGTAGGAGGGCAGATCTAGGATCAGATCCCCTCTGTCCATGTTATCTTATGGATTATGATCTTAAAGGCAAAACTGATCCAATATCAGCACTGAGTGAGTCTCTTGTGAGTACGGGACTAGATCTTGAATATGTATTTGGTTGTGTTGACCCTTCCATGGTATTAATTAGATGTGACTCCATTACACTTGGAGTAGATGTTGGGTCAACACTTACGTTTTCCTCTAAATGACCTAACATGGCATGCCATAAGCTGCCGTTGGCCTCGACAGGGATTTTAAAAACATATTTTTCATTCATTTTGAGACTTGAAAGTTCACCTAACATTAGTCTGAACTGAAACAGCCCAGTGCAGTGCACACAGACATGAGCTGTGTTTTCTGTCTTCGACAGCCAAACAAAACGAGTATAATTTTTTTTTAACCTATAATAATAATAATAATAATGCAAGTATATGGAGCACTTAGTTGGTATGGCGCCAATGAGTGGAGAGCCATATGAGCATCAACAGAGGGTCCAAGAGAGGATCTCAGTTTCCCCTGCAGAGAGAAATGTATACAACTAAGTGTGTGTCCTTTACGTACAGTTAGTTTGAATTGTCAACAGACAAAAATATACTGTGTGAGCAGACTGAGCTGAACCACTACTGGATGGTTGGATGGCTGCATGGCTGGATGGCTGGATGGCTGGATGGCTGCATGGCTGTTCTGAGGCCAGGACACACAAATCTCCTCTTCAGCTCCTGTGAAACGAAACGCAGTCAGAGTGCCGGCACCCGCATCCTACCCTCCCTCTATCCCTCCCACCCTCCCTCCATCCTAGCGCCATACCTCCCTCTGGAACAGGAAACGACAGGGTTGGATCTTAATTAGCTTGGCAGTTATGAATAACATCCTCAGTGGATTAAGGGGACTGTTGTTGTTGTAGGTTTGTGCAAGGAGCAGGGAAAATGTCCCACCAACCAACCATTCTGATTCAGTTATTGTATAGTGGTGGTACACACACACGCACGCACACACACACACACACACACACACACACACACCTTGAATTTGTATCCAGTGCCACGGAACTGTTGGAACCTACCCAGGAACGATCAGGATCACACAAGGGGCCATATTCAATCAAACATCAAACCCGGTAAATGGGAGATTTGGGATACCAGAAAACATGTTTAAAGAATGTGGACTCCACTGGTAATCACTATTCCTTGTGCAATGTATCCAGGGATGCCCCTAGCCTTTTGGGGGCCCTAAGCGATTTTTGGTTAGGGGGCCCCACCTCGCGGGCAAAACATTTCTGTGCCCCCACCAGTGGATAAAAAATTGTTTCAGTGTTAAAGTTATTTCCTGCAACTCTGCACATTTTGCCATCGGGTGTAGAGAAAATGTTGCAGTTTTAAAGGTAATATCCTGCAATTCTACACATTTTGCCATGAGGTGGAGAACTGCTGATGTACTGCCAAATTTTGAAATTGCACCACTGGGCCCTTCGCGTAGTCTGCATATAGGCAGAGGCGGCACCGAATGTACCTGGCAGTCTCCATGCATTGAAACTATCATTTTCAACCATTTACATTTTACATCTTCTATCAATTTCACCAGTATTTATTTTGTTGTGTCAGTGGAATTGGATCAGACACATTCACTGGGTGGTAAAAGGTTGACTTTTCCTTTGCTCCTCCTGCAGCAGCGGTTGGCTCGATTGGTATTCAGAAATGCTTAAAATCCAAGATAAACTGGACCAAGGACAGAGTCTTATGTTCAACATTTTTCCAAATGATCAAAAAAATCATTTTTTAGAGGAACTTTGGATCTTTGAGTTGGATTTCAGTCAAGACCTCATCCGAGTCCCCACCCATCATGCTGTTACATTCTTGATTATGGAGACTTTCTGAGTATGTGAATCTTATCTGGGCTCATCTAAGACTACACAACTCTAATTATAAGGTTTATAATAACGTTATGCCTCTCTATGACACACTTAGTCATGATAATACTAGGATGATAATAGCATGTTGTAAGGGGGTCATAAAAGTCAAGTCTTATAATGCATTATACCTACAGGCTTTAAGTGAAATGTTACCAAACTATCTCTACACAATAACTATTTAGGTCACGGAGAGCCTAAACATCTCCCATTATCTGGAGCCAAACAAATTCATTGACAAAGCTAAAATATGACAATCAAATGCTCTGCATGCTCAGATGAATGTCTTCATGACTGAAAGCTTGAACCTTATACTCATTGAATGTGCATTGATCTAAGTGCGCAGAGACTCTTCTACAATTTAATCAGGTGGGGAAATTTGAGAGAGGCCTAGTTCAGTAAGTATCCAAAAGTTAACACCATTGCAAAATCTTTATCTAGCCTCAAGAGGTTACAAACATTCATCCCAAAATATATATTATTAGCCATTCACAATCACTGTATGGTACTGTAGCCTAAGAGAGCAATGTCCTTATACAGTATTTCATTCTTACATGAACTCATTTTGAAAACATGTGAACGTTGATAATTGCAGTCTCCACTTTGATCATTTTTCAGAGGGCACGACTGTTATGCTTAAGGAGGCACTTTCTATGATTCTTGGCCCGCCGCATATTTTCTGTGTAAATGACATACAAAGAAAACTTAAGAGGTGTTTCTCAAGGGCTCAACATTTTTTATGCCTACACCCCATTGGCAAGTCAACTATGGAAAACCTGAACTATAAACTTCAAGCACTGTATTCTGTGTGGTTTGAGGCTGGAGGCTGATGTGGGCTGGGGATCCATTGCTTGATTTCTACGGTAGCAGCAGCATCCCAGAAAGGGATGCGTCCCAAATGCATCCCAAATGGCTCTCTATTCCTTGTATAGTGCACCACTATGGGCTCCAGTGCACTATAGGGCATATGGTGTCATTTGGGACGCAGCCCAGGTCTAGTTGAGTTACAGGTGGTAGGGGGCAACACTCTGCCACCTCAAACCACTGTCACCATGGCATCATAGGGACCTCACCACCGCAGAGTTTAAAGGCCTGGCAACTGGCATGCCTTGAAGACGGGAGCCAGACAGTGGTCAGAAAGAGTTTTCTATGACTGTGCTCTCTAGCTCTCTCTTGCTCTCAGCTGGTCAAATTAGTCATGGACATTTATTTCCTTGTGAGATAAGGTCTTATCTTACCTTTATTTATCATTTATACTTCAGAACGATCTGACCAGCGTGTACATTATGTTAAGAATATTCCAATGTACGCCTGTGTCAAACAAGGTTCATAACGTTTAATGTAACACTGTTATAACAGTTTTCCTTTGTCAGTTATTGTCTGTGAAATGTGAAGTGCTTAAGGGGCTGCTCTCACGAACTCTGGTTTTCAGACGCAACCATTTAGTGGATAACACTGCCATCTTCAGATGGGGATGCAGAGTTTCATCATCATCATCAGTGTTATGAAATTGGAAATTACCTCTCATGTCATTATAAAGGACTTTTAACTATACGAAAATCCATCTGGGCAGAAATTCAGACAATGAATTCAACATACTATTTTGACTGCTGACTAGGCCTACTGATGTTGAAGCTCCTCTTTCTTTGTGGCAGGTGCATCTGTTATTTTCAAGACCGACCAATCACCATCTAGTTTATTGTTCATTGCGGTCTAACGTCCAATAGCTCTCCTCTTTGTTGCCTTGGGTATTAACTGGTTTACGACTGCGGACAGACAGACGCAAATAGGCCGGGTTTTAACTAATAGGGCCTAGTTTAAAATCCGTATTTACTTGTTCAGTTTCAATATACCATTAAATTGCATCTGTAGTTTTGCAAAATAATCGCAGCCTGAGACAAGCGATCGGAGGTGAATACATCTGAAGATAAAAATAAGTAACTAAACCGGATAGCTAGTTCATGCTAGCTAAGTTACATCGTTGGGCGCCAGTCTTTTCGTTTGCCGAGATTGCTAGCTCTGCACGTTTCATTGTTGTTGTTGTTAGCGACCGAGCTTGCTAACTGCTAAATTTCAGCATTACTTGCTAGCTACAGTTTTTAGCTACAAGAAAGCAACCAGGCATGGCGGAATTCCTCGAAGATCCGTCGGTTCTCACGAAGGATAAGCTCAAAAGTGAGCTCACGGCCAACAATGTCCTTCTTCCCAGCTCCGAACAGAAGAAAGATGTCTACGTTCAGTTGTACCTGAAGAACTTGACCGTTCTGAACAAAAAATGTCCACCATCTGTAGACACGTTCTCCAGTGATGAAGAATTGCCTGCCCCTGTAGTCTCCAACAAGAGCCGATCTGGAAGAGTAAGTAATGAAATATGATGTTATAAATGGTTATTACAGTGCTATGAGTATGAATTGATATTGTAATGTTAGTCATAATGCATGAAATCACTAGATACCTGTGTTGTAAAATGATGTGATGCCTTTCCATGTGATGTTATTTCAGTTAAATATCCACTTCCTATTTTCTTCCCTCCTACTCATGCCTTGAATTGGTTCTCTAATGGATGTTTGTTTACTAGATAACGTTATTTAAGTCAGAGATAGGCTAGTCTTTGGTCTCTATTAGATAAGCTAATTAACCAGTCTATGTATTGACACCCATAATCCATCAATAGAAAGCTACCAGGAAGACAGACAAGCCTCGCTCAGAAGAAGTGGAAGTCACAGACCTCACCGATGCAAGTTTAAAAGATGAGCTGTTGAAGCATGGAGTCAACGCTGGGCCCATAGTTGGTGAGTCCTGCTTATATCTCTCACTTGTCTAAGGTGTCCTCCTCTTCTTCATCTGCACTGATCTGAGAAGAGAAGTGAAGTGAAAGCGAAATGGTAGAAGCCTACTGAGGAATCTGCTTTCAACTCTTCAGTTCTTTCAAACCTGTGCAGATGAAGGGAAGGAGGCGAGGAGAGAAAGCCACTTGAGACTATTGAGGTGCGTGCACCAACAGACTCAGACAAACTGAGAGATATCTTTAACGACAGTTCACTTCATCCCAAACTGGTTTCCCTTGCCTTTCCCTCAGGCTCCAACAGGAAGCTTTATGAGAAGAAGCTTCAGAAGCTACTGGATACACCTACAGCTGAGACTACTTCCAGCCCACCTGAAACTGCCAGAGTTACTGCTGCAGCCAAGGCAGATGGCAACCAGAACGGCAACACACACTCTGGCCAGTACAGTGACAAGGAGGAAGGTGAGAGCAATCATCTTACCACTGCACAAGAACATGCACCATTAATTAGGCAGCACACCTAAACAAATAATGTTAATTCAGGGTTGGGATCAATTCCATTTCAATTTAGGAAGTAGGCCTAAACTGAAAAGCAATGAGGGAAATGTTCATTTCAGTCTACTTCCTGAATTGAAATGGAATGGATCCTTTTTACTTTATGATGTTTGACTGTCAGTTTAGATGCCTTGATTCTCACTGACTCGTGTTCGCTTTACCTGTGCCAGATGAGATAGCTACTGCTCCTGAACCAGAGGCTGTTCCTGTTGTGGAGCAGCCTGTGAGGATCGGAGGGAAGACTCCTGTCACTGTTAGGAACAGCAGCAGATGGAGCAGTAAGGTAAGCCTTCAAGTTCAACTTTATTTTCCATATAGATACATAATACATAAATAATAATAAAAACATCTTAAAACATGCAATGGAAATCAGGGCTCTCACATTAAAACTGCTTTCGTTTTCAACAGCAAGAAAGTTCAGCACAAATATGTACAAATAACATTATCTTGCACCCATAAACTCCAGCCTCTCAATCATCTGTTGTTATTGTCAATGTTCACAGCTACAGGTGGTGGAGGTGAACCTAGCAACTGGCGACCAGACCCCTAAGAAGACGAGGGAGAATGTTGAAGAGATTCTCGCTAATGAGATCCTTTCACCCACAGGCATCAGGTAAGTCTGTTGACATTTCACTTCATCAGCAAAGTAGCCTTGAAGAATGGTTGTTTTGTATAGAAAGATTAAATATCATTTTGGAAAGGTAATGCTCTTTCCAGTAGGCCTGGCACAATTACTGTATAACCGTGTAATCCACAGTTATAAATGAAGACTGTCATGAAAATAAAATAACCGTCATAATCTTTTTTTTTTTTTTAAATGAACAAACAAACAGCTGACTGAAGTCTGGACGGCCGGACATTAGTGTGGTTGAGTCCGTTTCTGCGGTAACATGGACTCTTAACAACGTGATTAAACTTTGTTTCTCCTTGCTGAAACAAGCAAGGTGTTGTAGCAAACAAGCACACATAGAAAGGTGCCAGCAAGGTGCAGCAGCACACACAGAAATATAATCTATGGTAGTACATGCAGTCAGGAGCAGAGGAGAGGAATACATTTGTGTAATCTTGTATTTTTTTTGCTGTACTAAATCAAAAATCAAATTAAATTTGATTTGTCACATACACGTGTTTAGCAGATGTTATTGCGGGTGTAGTGAAATGCTTTTGCTTCTAGCTCCGACAGTGCAGTAATATCTAACAAGTAATATCTAACAATTTCACAACATATATACCCAATACACACAAATCTAGTAAAATAAAATGTATGCACTCACTAACTGTAAGTCACTCTGGATAAGAGCGTCTGCTAAATTACTAAAATGTAAATGAATGGAATTCAAGAATATATACATATATGGACAAGCAATGACAGAGCGGTATTGACTAAGATACAGTAGAATATTATAGAATAGAATACAGTATATACATATGAGATGAGTAGTGCAAGATATGTAAACATTATTAAAGTGACTAGTGTTCCATTTCTTAAAGTGGCCAGTGATTTCAATAGGCAGCAGCAGCCTCTAATGTGCTAGTGATGGCTATTTAACAGTCTGATGGCCTTGAGATAGAAGTTGTTTTTCATTCTCTCGGTCCCAGCTTTGATGCACCTGAACTGACCTCGCCTTCTGGATGATAGTGGGGTGAACAGGCAGTGGCTCGGGTGGTTGATGTCCTTGATGATCTTTTTGGCCTTCCTGTGACATCGGGTGCTGTAGGTGTCTTGGAGGACGGGTAGTTTGCCCCGGTAATGCGTTCGGCAGACCGCACCACCCTCTGGAGAGCCCTGCGGTTGCGGGCGGTGCAGTTGCCATACCAGGTGTTGATACAGCCCGACAGGATGCTCTCAATTGTGCATCTGTAAAAGTTTGTGAGGGTTTTAGGTGCCAAGCCACATTTCTTTAGCCTCCTGAGGTTGGAAAGGCTCTGTTGCGCCTTCTTCACCACACTGTCTGCGTGGGTGCACCATTTCAGTTTGTCAGTGATGTGTACACCAAGGAACTTGTAGCTTTCCACCTTCTCCACTGCGGTCCCGTCGATGTGGATAGGGGGGTGCACCCTCTGCTGTTTCCTGAAGTCCACGATCATCTCCTTTGTTTTGTTGACGTTGAGTGAGGTTATTTTCCTGGCACCAAACTCCCAGAGCCCTCACCTCCTCCCTGTAGGCGGTCTCGTCATTTTTGGTAATCAAGCCTACTACTGTTGTGTCGTCTGCAAACTTGATGATTGAGTTGGAGGCGTGCTTGGCCACGCAGTCATGGGTGAACAGGGAGTACAGGAGGGGGCTGAGCACGGACCCTTGTGGAGCCCCAGTGTTGAGGATCAACGAAGTGGAGATGTCGTTTCCTACCTTCACCACCTGGGGGCAGCCCGTCAGGAAGTCCAGGACCCAGTTGCACAGGGCGGGGTTCAGACCCAGGGCCTCGAGTTTAATGATGAGCTTGGAGGGTACTATGGTGTTGAATGCTGAGCTATAGTCAATGAACAGCATTCTTACATAGGTATTCCTCTTGTCCAGATGGGATAGGGCAGTGTGATGTCGATTGCATCGTCTGTGGATCTATTGGGGCGGTAAGCAAATTGAAGTGGGTCTAGGCTGACAGGTAAGGTAGAGGTGATATGATCCTTGACTAGTCTCTCAAAGCACTTCATGATGACAGAGGAGAGTGCTACGGGGCGATAGTCATTTAGTTCAGTTACCTTTGCTTTCTTGGGTACAAGAACAATGGTGGCCATCTTGAAGCATGTGGGAACAGCAGACTGGGAAAGGGAGAGATTGAATATATCCGTAAACACAACAGCCAGCTGGTCTGCGCGTGCTCTGAGGACACGGCTAGGGATGGTTATATCGGAGACTGCGGTCATTTGGCTGGCCTATTTCCACCATCCAAAATTCCATGACCTTCACAGCCCTACTGGTATTTAAGGCAGTAGATGTAATTACTTTAGTCACTCACCTCATCCTCTAATTCCTCTCTCCCCAGCGCCAGCTGCAGGCGACCGATTCGCGGCGCGGCGGGCCGACCGGTGAAACCCAGCGACTACTGGCTGAACGAGTCTCTCTTGGAGCGCTCCATCTACACAGAGTCCTATTCTGAATGCAGCTCCTTGGGCTCAAACGCGCCGGCCAGGCCCGGCTTCCTCTCTGTCCTGCTGAAGCTCATGGTGCTCATCACTGTAGCCGGGTCCATCTACTTCGCCATTCAGCACCTCGATGCTGATCAGGTTCAGTCCTTCAAGGGTTTGCTAACCGACGCCAAGGGTCTCCTAAACAGCGCTAAGGGTCACCTGTGTAGCACGGTTGATAAGGTGGTGGATGCCGTGGTCGATAATGTGATTGTGCCACTGGGTATCGGGGGAGGCAGCAGCCAAAGTGCAGGAGCAGAGAGTGGCGGTAAGTAGGCAGTGCACCCTCTCCACCCTGCTCCCTTTGTTTTGGGTATTTTTTACCGTTATTTTACCAGGTTGTCCAATTGAGGTCAGAACCCCGTTTATTCAACAGACCACCTGGCCACTGCTCTGCCATCCACACCTCACTAGCTCACCACACCCCCTCCATCGCATCCTCTGGTCACCACCAACATCTTCACCTTTTTATACATGGTTACCCACCTTGAAGGACTGACTGACTGACTTTTAATCTGGGCTGGTAGACTATTACCCTGTCCCCTCCTTGTTCACTTTTCCTCACCCCTCACCCCACGTGAGGAGAGCAGGGGGGGTATTCAACCCAACCAACACCAGCTTCCTGGAAAACCAACACTCTTGCCGAGACAGTCTGAATAGACTTGTTTTTATTATGAAGTTGTTTTTAATCATAGTGTGAAGTGTATTTTGTGTATTCTTTGTGTGTGTATTTTTCCCTTATGCGTGTAAATAGAACTCCCATGTGATATAGAGAGGACAGACAAGTCGTATGCATGGTTGTAGTTTTTGAAGGACATGTTTGTAGTTTTTGGAGTGTCTGTGGTGCCAGGCGTTTTTCTGATGGTGAAGTGCCTGCACACTGTTAGCACTTAGTGCCAGTGTAGGGGTCAATTCCATTTAAATTCCAGTCAATTCACAAAGTAAACAATTCCAAATGTTCCTCATTAAAAAGCATTGAAGAGAATTGGAATTCCAGTGTACTTCCTAAATCGACTGGAATTTAAATGGAATTGACCCCAACTCTGCTTAGTGCCCTCCCACTAATTCAAGCACAAAGAAATGATACTAATTACGGAAACATTTACAAGTATTTCTGTATGGATTTTTGAATATACACTAGTAGTAATAATAAAGCTAGGTAGAATCATTTGTTGAAACTATGAATTGAATGGTGCTCAGGTCTATTCTAATCAGCTCTAAATTAATCTGATCAGTGCTGGGAGGAGTGATAATGTCCAATAGTGTAAAGTCAGGTCTCGTCACTGTATGAGGAAAACCCCTTATTTTCAAGTTATAAAGGTCATAAAACTGATTTTCTTTGGATAAATTGCTCGTTTTTGGTATATGCTGCAGTAACTAAGTAAGTGGTCTGACCGTTGAATGGCTCATCATGGCACCTGACTTGAGGGGCCGTGACCAAATCCCAGTATAGCTTTGTGAGTTTGTGTGAGTTTACGTACGTGTTTCATTTAGTAGTGATTTGTTGTGCTAGATTCCAGATCCTCCTGTCCTATCTACAGGGTCATGATCAGTAGGGCACCGTAGCAAAATGGGCATAATCCTCTCTGTTTTAATGTGTGTTTTCCCTGTTTGTTGCCTAATGAACATGACCCAAGACTGGCTGTCTTTTTTTAGTGCACCCACACTGCCCTTCCTAGTGGCTCCGCACACTACTGATCTGGGAAGAATAACGTTTTTGCAAAACGTAGTTGAGCAAGTATACGAGTTAACAAAGTATTCAATTTGGTTACTTGGACTATAAATAGAAATGTACTCTGCCTCATGTACACTTCATCGTCATAGAAGAGGTAACACTAAAGGGGACAATAAAACAATTGACTGAGGAGAGACTAATGGTAATATTGATAGCAACTTAACTTATATTGACCATTCATTGAATTTTGTTGTCAAGATGTTGAAATGTTTGTCCAGTGTTTAAAATAAGTATTTTTTATTGGTGTATTTTTCTAATGTGAATTGTTAATGTTTGTCTTTTGTCGAGGTGAAAGTGAAATGTCCAAAATGTTTAAATGCTATCCTAAAACTGAACCTCTTTGTTGACTTGTGGTTACACAGGTGAATATATTAAATATTCAATGTTTTTTTACTTTGATCAGGCAGCTAGCTTCCCATGGATGGACAGATATGATGGGGATTGTGGGGGTAAGGATTTTGAATCTGTTTTTATTTGAAACAGTATCATGAAATAAATGTGGTAATTCAATTGTCTCCCCGTGGTTTTCTCTATTGAGGCAGAGTTTGTACACTGTTCGATGGACAGCTACTGTACTGATATCTGTTGGTGACGATTATGAGAACCCTTGTCTTGCCTGAGACCGGAAGATTTGTGTTGGCTCTCTGAGGTAATGCCTAGGATTTAGTTCAGTGGGTTAACAGTCTTGTGGTGCGCACTGTGCAGACGCCCACAGTCGAACCCAGTTGGTCACATGCATAAAAACACCTCAGAGGGATGCTCTTGTTTGAGAATATTTCAACAAAAACTGAAAACATTCACGCATAGGGAGATAAGCATCCAACTCAAAGGTAAAATAAGAGTGTTGAGTGGCATCTTTCAACTTGAATGTGTGCCTGTCACAAAGGAAAATGACAAATCAATTAATGAACAACACAAAAAGGACACAAATTGCCACCTGGGGCAATCAGAGACCTAAGGGATTTAATGCAGAAAAGCCTGGTATAGGTAGGATGCCACAGAGCGCAACACAAAGACACCAAAAGAGCGGAACTGACGTATCCTCTTACCTCATGTGACGTAGCTCTCTAGCACCCTTAGAACGGAGACTTGACATACACGACGGTCTCTACGATTCACGGGTGGTGAAGGACGGCGGCGCCATTTTGCGACTGAAAGCCTGGAAGTAAAGAACATACATAGATAACTTTTTATGAATTCATACTTTACGTAGTAACACATTTGTTGATGTGGGAGGCATTTCTCAAAACAATAATATTTGTTGCTACAGCAAGGAGAAGCTAGAAAATGTTGGCCTGCGAGCTAACGTAACGTTAGCACCTAGCTAACACTCAGGCTAGCCAGCAGGCTTTTGTGTACCAACTCTTGCTTTATCGCTTTAAAGTAACAATTGTATGTTGAAACAACTTACATGAAATGTAATTTCCATGCTAAGTTGGCCAACTGTCTAACTAAATATATTTGATTTGTTTCATCTATTTTTTTTGGTAAAGCTAGCTAACCACGTTGTCTTTATCTGTGCCCCACAGCCACCCTTAAGGAACAATGTACCCCAACGCGTTGACACAGTTGGCGCGGGCGAACCCCTTCAGCGCGCCGCTGTTCACTCTACAAAAAGCCGAGGAGCCATCACAAAGCCTTGCTGCCGAACATGGACCAAGCAAACGCACATTGGCTGCCGCTGCAGTGGCCGGTAAGAAGAGGTGGTGTATGTTACTTAATATTAGCCAGCTAACGGTAGCTAGCTTGCTAACAAAGTCCTCAACGAATTAGCTAGCTAAATAGGTTTGATTGCTAATATTGCAAACTTCTGAATCCGCTGTTTTTACTAGTCCCATTGCGGTATGAGTTTATGAACGACAGCCAATTGAACCGTCTCTTTTCACTCTTTACTTATCAGTGATTACACCCATGTCTGTATTTTTGAATTACACCAATGAAGGTTAAGTCATCTGGGCCCAGTTTTTCTAAAATTATCTGCCCGGTTTTCGGCTATAGGATTAAATGCACAGAAATAGAATGAATAGAACAGACTAATCATTGACATGGATGGGGACTCGCGTTCTATTAATTATATTTCTATTCGTTTAATCCTATCCAATAGCCGAAATCCAGATAACCTTTGAAAAACTGGTCGCTGAACATCAGGGCACAGACATTTTTGGTTAGCTTTTGGCCTCTACACATTCCCTTTACACTTCCTATTGGGCAAGGCCTTGCAGTCATGCATGGAGGACACTGAAGGGCAGAGTTTTGTAATAACTAGGCCAGTAGCTATGACAAAGTCTACAGATAAATCTAGCTAATTAGATAATGTAAATAGGAATCCAGCTAATACTATTGCCAAAGCCCAATCCCTTTATGAGGACTGAAGCTACAATGCAAATAACATTTTATTTGTCACATGCGCCGAATACAACAGTGTGTAGACCTTACAGTGAAATGCTTACTTACCAGCCCTTAACCAACAATGCAGTTTTTAAGAAAGAATACCAAAAAAAAAATACAATATAAAATAATACGGAATAAAAGTAACAAATCATTAAAGAGCAGCAGTAAAAATAACAATAGTGAGGCTATATACAGGAGGTACCGGTACCGAGTCAATGTGCGGGGGCACCGGTTAGTCGAGGTAATATGTACATGTGGGTAGTTATTAAAGTGACTGCGTAGATAATAAACAGAGAGTAGCAGCAGCGTGGGGGGGCAAATGCAAATAGTCTGGGTAGCCATTTGATTAGATGTTCAGGAGTCTTATGGCTTGGGGGTAGAAGATGTTTAGAAGCCTCCTGGACCTAAGCTTGGCGCTCCGGTACCGCTTGCTGTGCGGTAGCAGAGAGAACAGTCTATGACTAGGGTGGCTGGAGTCTTTAACAATTTCTCTGACATTGTTAGACCTAAATGGTCTCATGTTATCTATAGACCTGGCACAGGTAGCTAGCTAATTACAAAGTAAACACTGTAACAGCCTAGGGGTTATTTTGTTGCAAAGAAGTGGAATAACACATGGGGGCCTAATATCATGGTTGAGTTGAAAGAATAGTGTCATGAAGACTTGCGTATAGGGGCTTGCACTGGGTGTTACCTGATCTCCTTGCCATGTGAGTTTGGAAGTCTACCCATGACTAAAGGTCTCATTATGGCCTTGTCCTAGGCTGTGCTACTTGCTTTGACAGTTTCCTCCCTTTAGTCTATCAGTTAGTGATTTTAATGTCAACGTGTGGCTTCATTACACTTGACACTCTCAAATAGATAAGACGGATAGGCTACCGTTTACAACCCTCCTCAGTTTACGTACTATGGAAGATAAGTTGCCCCTTAACTACATGTACTCATGCAAAAGGAATAATCGGCTTTAACGCAGTCATGAAGGTGATTCTGCTCTCCAACCACCGTTGCTAGACTGTCGAGCTGAGGTGTCGGCTTAGAAAGAATGTGAGGCACCAGTTATAGATTCAGTACATTTGTATTCAGGTCTCTGCACCAACGACCCAACTAAAGAGTAGACCTAATACTACAGTGTATATTCACATTGTTTCCTCTTACATGTGTGAAAGAACCCCAATTCACTGTCTTTTCCTCAGAGGGGGACAGTTGTGAGTTTGGCTCGTCGCATTATTTCATCATGTGTGGCATCGGTGGGATCCTGAGCTGTGGTACCACACACACAGCAGTGGTGCCCCTTGACCTCGTCAAGTGCAGGTTGCAGGTCTGTGGCCCCGACCAGGGGTTGCATGGCATGGATATTGTGCTGTGGATTCCACTAAGACGTTGACATCCCAGATAACAATATTTTCTGAAACAAGACTACATCCCAAATAACTTTTTTTTTTTTTTGCAACGGTGTGATGTGTTTCCACTAATATGCTGGGGGGAAACAGCCAGTTATCATTTTATTTGCATGCTTGAACTAGAGATGTATTGTTGAGTCCCGAGGAGCTAAAATGACTAAGTCGAAGTAAGTCACGTGAGATGTGAAGCTTTGACAGAATGTGAAGCTGGCGTTCTTTAACTTTATGGTATGACTCCTAAATGGTACTGTCAGGCGCTTGCCCTTTCTCTGTGTCCAATCAGCAATTTGATACTGTACCCACATTCATTCAACATCAGTGACCTTTAGCCTAGCAACAACTGCAGTCAAATCCCTAGCCAGGACAGGACATCCTCCTTGTTACAAACTGGAGTTGGGCCTAAAATCCTTGGCCAGTATTCCTGAAGCGTCAGTGTAGGAGTGCTGATATTAGGATACGTTTCCAATGAGGTTATTGACAGGTGGGGACCTGATACTAGATCAGCACTCCCAACTCTGACACTCGATGAATAATGGCCCTGGTATGGGAATAGAGGAATCACCCAAACACACCTTTTATTATTGAAGATTTGTTTTGTGCTATTACTCTCTTTACAATAAACATGAATGACTGTCGGTGTCAAGGAGAGCAAATTCTCCACTGTGCTCGAGGGTATAATGAAGAGGGAAAAAGCCTAGAAAGCGTATTAGACAATCCATTGTTAACGTTGTGGCGTGAGACACTCGGCATGGCTTAGAAGTGATGTTGACTAACAGCATGGTGTGTTGTCTGTCTGTCTCTTCTGTATTGTGTTTGGTCTGCTCTAGATTCTGATGTTAGCTGCGAGTTTGGCTCTAAGAAATACTATGCCTTGTGCGGCTTCGGCGGCATCCTCAGCTGCGGGATCACACACACGGCGGTCGTTCCCCTTGACCTGGTCAAGTGCCGTCTGCAGGTCTGTATATCCGCTGGTCAGGATTGCGTCCCAAATGGCACCTTATTCTCTATATAGTGCACTACTTTTGTCAAGGGCTCATAGGGCTCTGGTCAAAGTAGTGCACTATGTAGATAATAGGGTGCCATTTGGGACGCAGTTCTAGTCTCTGTGACCAATGTGCTCTGCTGCGCTGGAAGAATGGAAACATTGCAGTGTTGAGGGTGAATTCCATTTCAATCCAGGGAGTAAATTGGAATTCCTGATTTTAAATGGCATTGACCCCAACCGTAATAAATTGATAATACATTGAGTGTTATGGCCCTGTAGTATTGAATGCATTTCCCCTACAGGAACCCCACAGCACTATTCCCCCCCCCCCCCCCCCCCCCCCCTAAAAATCATTATCAGTTCAGTTTATAATGTACGTTCTGTCTCCAGGTGGACCCAGACAAGTACAAGAGCATCTTCAAGGGTTTCTCCATCACCATTAAGGAGGACGGCATGAGAGGGCTGGCTAAGGGCTGGGCTCCCACCTTCATTGGTTACTCCATGCAGGGTCTCTGCAAGTTTGGCTTCTATGAGGTGTTCAAGATCACCTACAGCGACATGATCGGAGAGGTCAGTAATGTAGTAGTGCTCATCGGTGAGACAAAGGCACTCTGCTGCCCTTATAGCCTACTGCACTACTTTGAACAAAAGTAGTGCCGTATATAAGGAGTAGGGCGACTTAGCCAATATATTGATTCCTATCTGCTCGACTCCTTCTCAACTATATCGGACCTTCTTCGCAAGGACATTGAATGCGAGGAATCGAGTAAAGATGAATTGCGAAAGACCCAAAGAATAAGGTCGTCCTCTCATAATGTTAACTCATCGGATCTTTCTCAATTCATCTTTCTTCGATTCCTTGCATCCTCTCGCCTGCTTCTCAAAACACATTGAAGAAGGTCTAAGGGATGGAATCTTGGACCTTCTTTTCCAATACAGCTGAGGAGGAGGCAAGGAGATGAGATGCGAGGAGTCTTGGAAAGACTAATGGAGATTATGATTTGCTCTTGACCTCCTACCCTCCCTGTCTGGTGAACCCAGGAAAACACCTACCTGTGGAGGACCTCTCTCTACCTGGCTGCGTCTGCCAGTGCGGAGTTCTTCGCTGACATCGCCCTGGCCCCCATGGAGGCGTGTAAAGTGCGTATCCAGACGCAGCCTGGCTACGCTAACAACCTCAGACAGTGTGCCCCCAAGATGTTCGCCGAGGAGGGACTCTGGGCGTGAGTACCCTACTGAATCAGCCAGTCACATTTAGCCACCCCTGTCTTAGCCCTAACCCTTCTATGTTTGTATATCTGAAGAGTCTGGATTGGTGTAGTCAGTGACGTGCTGGTGCTCTTTCACCATATTGCTTCTACCTTACAGATCTGCAACCATCGACGGGCTAGGGCCGAGGGGGAGGGAACACATTGGGACCAGCTGAATTACTCTGGCCTTGTTTTGTAATGACTTAGAATAAACTTGGCCCAGAATAAACTCCTCAATGAGGAAGAGGTTTCAAAGTCCAACACGCTCCTTAGATCCACCTCTGGGGGGCGCTCCTGGTCTGTTGAGTCTGCTATCGCTCTCTCTGAGTGCTGACTGCAGCTCCAGCCCAGACGCTCCCAGCAGCTTTCTGGCTGTACAGTTGGAGGTGCTTGAGTCATTGGCGTGTGAGAACAGTCTACCTGCTCCCCAGCCCACTCCCTGCACTGGCACCCTCGCTGGAAAACTACCAGTGCAGACAGGCTGGGGAGCGGACAACTTTTACATGTCCCTACATAACTTTACTTACATTTTCTTTACACGGGTCATAGACCATTTGGTTCCTGTTTCCTATACCCAGTTTAAGCCTACTGCTGGTCTTAAATGCATGCTCAATGAAGAATCTATTAAAACAGCTGTTTAGTCCAGAATTAGATTAAAGGTCCAACGCAGACGTTTTTATCTCAGTATCAAAAAACCTTAGTGTGATTGCTTTCAGTTAAAATTGTCAAAAATAAACTAAAATAGCTTCTTAGCAAAGAGCAATTTCTCAAGCAAGAATTTAGCTAGGACTGTCTGGGAGTGGTCTGAGTCGGGAGGGGAAAACTGAAAACGAGCTTTTATTGGCAGAGAGGTTTGGAACGCTCTTATTGGTCTAACTAATTTACCGACTGGTGATGTCACCAGGTAGGTCAAAACCCCATCCCACCAAAACAGACTGAAATTTCAGGTGGTCTTTTCAAACGGCTCTTACACTAAAAGAGCATTATTATTTTCGCAGTATTATTCCAACCTCAGTCTGGAAATGTATATAAAATGGAGGACAGTCAGGTGTTTTGACTGCACTGGGCCTTTTTAAAATCCTGGTGTGGGAAAAGTCAATAACACAAACAAGTCACTCACGCTCTGCCCCTTGCCGCTGCTCTTTAGCTTCTACAAGGGTGTAGTCCCTCTGTGGATGAGGCAGATCCCCTACACCATGATGAAGTTTGCCTGCTTTGAGAGGACCGTGGAGCTGCTGTACAAACACGTGGTGCCCAAACCCCGCGCTGAGTGCTCCAAGGGGGAACAGCTGGTCGTCACCTTCACGGCCGGATACATTGGTGAGTCCACAGTTTTAAAGAGTTGTTAGATGGATCGTTTTTTTGTTGTTGTTAGACTTCCAACCACAAGTAGATACACTGGATATTAAATAATTAAAGATGAGTTTTACAACTGGTTTCCGTTGTGTATAAGGTGTAGCCTATAACTTTACTCCTAAACCATAGTCATCCAAAATGTATTTTTTTTTCATAATCGATTCAGGAATTCCTACTTTCTCTGATATTTTCTATGTTGGCCTAATCACATCCCTGATGGTGGTTCTCTTCTCTGCAGCTGGTGTGTTCTGTGCCATCGTGTCCCACCCTGCTGACTCCGTGGTGTCTGTACTGAACAAGGAGAGTGGCAGTACCGCCATTGGAGTGCTCAAGAAGCTCGGACCCAAGGGTGAGGAGTAGTACTGGATTCCTCTTATCAGAACCCTCCCACCCCCCATATCCTTTTCACACTACCGAGACGTACCAAATCGCGCTGTGCTGACGCTGATATTTTCCGTTCACCTTGTTCGTTCCAGCAACTTCTATTAACTATGGTGGATGTGTAACAGGCCAGCTCAGCACAGCTTGGTTTGGCTCTGTAGTGTGACTCGCCCAGTAGGATCTTTCAGATGGAAATCTATTGTGTAATAGAGGTTTCCAACACGCTCCTTAGATCCACCTCTGGGGGGCGCTCCTGGTCTGTTGAGTCTGCTATCGCTCTCTCAGAGTGCTGACCGCAGCTCCAGCCCAGACGCTCCCAGCAGCTTTCTGGCTGTACAGTTGGAGGTGCTTGAGTCATTGGCGTGTGAGAACAGTCTACCTGCTCCCCAGCCCACTCCCTGCACTGGCACCCTCGCTGGAAAACTACCAGTGCAGACAGGCTGGGGAGCGGACATGATTCAGTATCTCCTGCATCATCCAAGTACCACCATCAGACATTTGATTTGTTGATATTTTTGATGTATATGATGTAACATAAAGTTACATTTGACTTGAATGTAAACCGTTGTGTTCTGTCGCTTTCTGTTCCTTCCTCCTTTCTGTCTCGTCAGGTGTGTGGAAGGGTCTGGTGGCCCGTATCATCATGATCGGCACCCTGACCGCCCTGCAGTGGTTCATCTACGACTCTGTCAAGGTCTACTTCCGCCTGCCCCGTCCCCCTCCCCCAGAGATGCCCGAGTCCCTCAAGAAGAAGCTGGGGATCACAGAGTAAAGAAACAAAATGGCAGCCTTATCAACAAATATCTATTCAAAATGGCGGGCCTTATCAACAGCAATATAAGATGGCGGCCTTCAAACAACATATCCTTAAGTTAACATCCACACAGCACACCGCTCTCTGCCTGCTGTAGTCACAGCTGTCCTGTTCTGCCTGTAGCCCACCTACCCTGGTCTGAGCTACTTCAGCATGTTACGTTCAGAGAGAAATATGCTATGTAGAACAGACATGCCTCTATGACATGTAGAATAAAGAATCATGTTGGCTCTATTCGTAGCGTTTCTATCTGCGTCGTTCCAAGACGTTTTCGTACTGAACATGGCCCTGGTCAGCAGGAGTGGGGTCCATTTTTCAATTAGATTCCAGAAGTAAACTGAAATTATAATTTCTTAATTTAAAATTGGAATTTCAGTTTCCTTATGGAATTGTTTGAATTGAAATAACTGAACCCAACCCTACTGGTCATAAGGCACACTGAAGAAATGGGGAGGAGGGTTCCCTCCTTAGAGGGAAGGCAATGCCACAAGTGCAATCAGGTTAACACCCGACCGCAGTTGGTTAATGTTACAATAAATAAATGAAAAATGTGGAAACGTCATTTTATGACTTTGTTTTTGAAAGGTGTGTGTGTGTGACTGATTGTGGAAAGTAGTTCAATAGATGTTTTATGCTTCTTTAAACTGACCATTGCTTGCGTAGTTAGATATATTTTTTTTTGTGGCCCCCACCCCCATCAAAGTTGCCCATCCCTGGTGTAAAAGGACGAGTGAGGCCCAACTCATTTGTGTTGTTGGGTGGGTGTGTTCATCCCCATGTCAGAGGCTGGCCCTGCCCTGGAGGAGGAGACGGTCAGTGTAATTAGGGAAATTTGCTGCCGCCTGACATGACCAGAAATACTGCAAGACAGACCGGCAGGAGTGCCAGGCGTGCCCCCTCTTATTGTTGAGCCACTGGCAGAGGCAATAAGTAGCAGACAGGACATCAAACTAGGGAAATGTATGTTATGTCCATGATGTCCTGCTTTTAGCCTCTGTCCCTGCCATAGTATCAGTTAGTGAATTGTGATAAGACCGTGGCTATTCCGCAGTTTGGAGACCTGACAACTATCCCACATTTTCCGTTCAGGTGGTTGACCACAGGGTTCACACATCTGGAAATATTTGTCTCACCTAACCAAAAAGCTATTTTCAAACTCAACTTCCTTGCAGTGCTCAAGAAATGTAGAATTGATCTCCAAAGGTGGTTTGATCTTCCCATCTCATGGATTGGCAGGGTGAGCCTTATTAAGATGAATATCCTCCCACGTTTTGCTCTACCGCATGCAAATGATTCCACCGTGGGAAGAGGTAGACTTAAAATATGCTGTACTATAATTGGGCAACCCCATGCCCGCATCATTTCTGAATGGATACAGGGGTGGGCCAGAGTCTCCAGGGGCTTGTTAAGTGTACTTACTAGTAATAGTAAACAAATATCATCAAACATAAAGAATAACCAATACAACACATTACTTGCCATATTTTCAAGCATAGTGGTGGCTGCATCATTTATGGGTACTACTATCGGTACCGGTACTCCTTGTATATAGCCTGGTTATTTTTATTGTGTTACTATTTCCTTTTTTAAAATTTTGCTAACCCTCTGATCTATGGTACAGTGTGAATATGGCAGCAGCTGATGAAGCTCACTGGTAGGAAACGTATATCCTCACCATTGACAAGCAATAGAGATTTCCCTCCATGCTTCAACATCAGTGTTATTGGGGACCTATACTCAAACAATGTTCTTATGTCTTTTACAAATATACAAGCTAGTTTTGGTATCCCGCAAAAGCACTTTTATTGTTTCTTGCAAGTTCAACATTTTATTCGGAGATACATTACCTCCACATTACATTTTTGTCATTTATCCAGAGCGACTTACAGTTAGTGCATTCATCTTAAGATAGCTAGGTGGGACAACCACACATCACAGTCATAGTAAGTAGCTATCTGCAAAGTCACAGCTAGCAAGTGGGAAAAAGTCAAGTGGGAGTGTTAGTTCAAGAAGGGGGGTAGCGGGGGGGCTGTGGGATTATTTAAAATACTCTTTGAAGAAGTAGGGTTTCAGGGATTTTCGGAAGATGGGCAGGGACTCTGCTGTCCTAGCTTCAGAGGGGAAGCTGGTTCCACCAGATGGGTCACTGAGGGGTCCAGTTGAATAATTTCACCTCCAATTCAGACTCAAAGGGTATTACTGGAACCATGTCGTCCAAAAAGATATACTTTTGAATCATCTGTCCATAGAACGTTCTTCCAAGAGTCTTGATGATCATCCAGGTGCTTTTTGGCAAACTTGAGTCAACTTTTTGGATGAGATGGGTCCCATTATGCCTGGCGAAAACCAAACTCTGCATTCCACAGTAAGAACATCATACCAAAGGTCAAGCATGGTGGTGGTGGTGTGATGGTTTGGGGATGCTTTGCTGCCTCAGGACCTGGATGACTTGCCTTAATAGAAGGAGCCATGAATTCTGCTCTGTATCAGAGAATTCTACAGGAGAATGTCAGACCATCCGTCTGTGAGCTGAAGCTGAAACGCAGCTGGGTCATGCAGCAAGACAATGATCCAAAACACACAATCAAGTCTACATGACTTGAAACAAGCAGTTCATGCTTGAAACCCCACACGTCACTGAGTTAAAGCAGGTCTGCATGGAAGTGGGCCAAAATTCCTCCACAGCGACGTGAGAGACTGATCAACAACTACAGGAAGCATTTACAACAAAGCCTCCTTCACTCATGCTGCCAAACATGCCCTCGTAAAACTGACTATCCTACCGATCCTTGACTTTGGCGATGTCATTTACAAAATAGCCTCCAACACTCTACTCAGCAAATTGGATGTAGTCTATCACAGTGCCATCTGTTTTGTCACCAAAGCCCCATATGCTACCCACCATTGTGACCTGTACGCTCTTGTTGGCTGGCCCTCACTACATATTTGTCGCCAAACCCACTGGCTCCAGGTCATCTATAAATCACTGCTAGGCAAATCCCTGTCTTACCTTAGCTCACTGGTCACCATAGCAATAGCAACACCCACCTGTAGTCTGCACTCCAGCAGGTATATCTCACTGGTCATCCCCAAAGCCAACACCTCCTTTGGCCGCCATTCCTTCCAGTTCTCTGCTGCCAATGACTGGAACGAACTGCAAAAATCTCTGAAGCTGGAGACTCTTATCTCCCTCACTAACTTTAAGCGTCAGTTGTCAGAGCAGCTTACCGATCACTGCACCTGTACACAGCCCATCTGTAATTAGCCCACCCAACTACCTCATCCCCATATTGTTATTTATTTTGCTCTTTTGCACCCCAGTACTCTATTTGCACATCTATCATTCCAGTGTTAATACGAAATTGTAACTATTTTGCACTATGGCCTATTTATTGCCTTACCTCCATAACTTACTACATTTGCACACACTGTATATATATTTTCTGTTTGTATTTTTGACTTTATGTTTTGTTTACCCCATATGTAACTCTGTGTTGTTGTTTTTATCGCACTGCTTTGCTTTATCTTGGCCAGGTCGCAGTTGTAAATGAGAACTTGTTCTCAACTGGCTTACCTGGTTAAATAAAGGTGAAATAAAAATAAAATTGGTTGGAGTCATTGCAGCTAAAGGTGGCACAACCAGTTATTGTGGTCCTCTGTAGCTCAGCTGGTAGAGCATGGCGCTTGTAACGCCAAGGTAGTGGGTTCGATCCCCGGGACCACCCATACACAAAAAATGTATGCACGCATGACTGTAAGTCGCTTTGGATAAAAGCGTCTGCTAAATGGCTTATTATTATTATTATTGAGTGTAAGGGGGCAATTACTTTTTCACACAGGGGAATTGGGTGTTGAATAACTTTGTTAATGAAATAAATATGTAATTGTTGTGTTATTTGTTCACTTATGTTCCCTTTATCTAATATTAGGTGTTGGTTGAAGATCTGATAACATTCATTATCACAAATATGCAAAAGTAGAGAAAATTAGAAAGGGGGCAAATACTTTTTCATAGCACTGTACACTGTTTCTGGGATTGGCCCTCTATAGCCAGATTCTGGTCACTAATCTCAAAGGAATGAAGTTCAGTCTTTCATTGTAAGATAAAAGTGGATCCAGGGCTGTTTCTTACCAGATAGAAACAAGGTTTTGAACCCATCAAGACTACCCCAGACCATGACGGACCCTCCACCTCCAAATCGATCCCGCTCCAGAGTACAGGTATCGGTGTAACGCTCATTCCTTTGACGATAAATGCGAATCCGACCATCACCCCTGGTGAGACAAAACCGCGACTCGTCAGTGAAGAGCACTTTTTGCCAGTCCTGTCTGGTCCAGCGACGGTGGGTTTGTGCCCATAGGCGACGTTGTTGCCGGTGAGGACCTGCCTTACAACAGGCCTACAAGCCCTCAGTCCAGCCTCTCTCAGCCTATTGCGGACAGTCTGAGCACTGATGGAGGGATTGTGTGTTCCTGGTGTAACTCGGGCAGTTGTTGTTGCCATCCTGTGCCTGTCCCGCAGGTGTGATGTTCGGATGTACCGATCCTGTGCAGGTGTTGTTACATGTGGTCTGCCACTGCGAGGACGATCAGCTGTCCGTCCTGTCTCCCTGTAGCGCTATCTTAGGCGTCTCACAGTATGGACATTGCAATTTATTGCCCTGGCCACATCTGCAGTCCTCATGCCTCCTTGCAGCATGCCTAAGGCATGTTCACACAGATGAGCAGGGACACTGGGCATCTTTCTTTTGGTGTTTTTCAGAGTCAGTAGAAAGGCCTCTTTAGTGTCCTAAGTTTTCATAACTGTGACCTTAATTGCCTACCATCTGTAAGCTGTTAGTGTCTTAAAGACCGTTCCACAGGTGCATGTTCATTAATTGTTTATGGTTCATTGAACAAGCATGGGAAAACAGTGTTTAAACCCTTTACAATGAAGATCTGTGAAGTTATTTGGATTTTTACGAATTATCTTTGAAAGACAGGGTCCTGAAAAGGGCCGTTTCTTTTTTTGCTGAGTTTACTTCTGGTGTCCCAAAACGCAATGAAACAGTCGGTGTGTTCGAAGCGTAAAAACAGTCGGTGTGTTTCGAAGCGTAAACCTAAAGCCTTGTCGGGAAAAGCAGGAGGCGCATATTCTAGAGCTCTGTGCTGCTGTCACTGTGCCACAATCTGTAGTGCGCCCTCGTTTTGGGCTTGCGTCACATGCTCCGACTCTGTAGTGCTACAGCTCATCTACCGTATTCCTCCTGACCTGAAAGGATTTGGACATAGGATACTGTCCTTTTGTGAGGTGCTGGTTGCACGGGGACGCACCGTAGCTCTCGTCTGGTCTAGTCGGACATGTTGATTACTGGGTGGTATTTATACCTTGCAGCTCGGAGCATCCTCAAACAAAGCAAGGATTTGTTTGTTATTGTTGTTGTTGTTATTGTTTGTGCCTTAGGAAGTTAAGGGTTTCCTGCTAGGATCGACCAGCTCTGCACAGTGATATGGTTTGGCTGTTGATTTAATGGTTGTGTGTGTGTGTGTAAGAAATGGGTGTAGGCGAAAGTCATGCAGGTCTAAAGCCTTAATCTCTCACCTCTGCTGCCAGCCTGCCATTTTAAAGCGACACAGCCTTTTTTTTTTTGAGTGCATCAATTATTTAATGAAACCTAAATTAATCCTAGCTGGGTCTGGCAAAGTGTTTGTCCTGCTTGTGTCTGAGGGTTCACTATTGCATCTCTTTGGACATGTAAAATACTTACTGACCAGGTACACTCTTCCTCCCCACCTGTTTATCCCTCCCTCCCCTCTTCCTCTCTCCCCCTTCCTTCCTCTCTCTTCCTCCCTCCTCTCTCCCCCCTCTCTCTTCCTCCCTCCTCTCTCCCCCCTCTTTTCCACTCTCTCTCTTCCTCCCTCCTCTCTCCCCCCTCTTTTCCCCTCTCTCTCCCTCCAGCATTGAACATGGCCTCTATCCTTCAGAAGCTCATCACCCCCCTGTTCAGTGGGACCCCAGAGCCCCCCAGGAACAAGGTGACAGTGGTGGGGGTCGGCCAGGTGGGCATGGCCTGTGCTGTCAGCATCCTGCTCAGGGTAAGACCTGACCTGCTGTGTTTTATGGACTGACTCATGTCAGACACATTGCTACTGTATAACCTGTCTAGTCTAACCCCAATCTTGTTCTACAGTATAACCTGTCTAGTCTAACCCCAATCTTGTTCTACAGTATAACCTGTCTAGTCTAACCCCCATCTTGTTCTACAGTATAACCTGTCTAGTCTAACCCCAATCTTGTTCTACAGTATAACCTGTCTAGTCTAACCCCCATCTTGTTCTAACTGTATAACCTGTCTATAAGCTAACCGCCATCTTGTTCTCTACAGTATAACCTGTGTCTAGGCTACCCCCATCTTGTTATCACGTATAACCTGTCAGATCTTGTTCTACAGTATAACCTGTCTAGGCTAACCCCCATCTTGTTCTACAGTATAACCTGTTACTACAGTAGTATCTGGATTACTCTCTGCTCATCTCTCAGTAGTCTGTATTACACAAACATTCCCTCTTTATTAGTGCTATAACAATGTTGTTACTATGCTTTTGTGCTGGTGTTATTGCTCGTGTAGGAACACCTCGTTCATTGTGTGTTCAACTCATTTATAAAACATAGATTGTTAGAAGTACAAATGCAAATGATATGTAATCAATAATATTACCATTTACTTATATGAATTACCTGTATGGGGTAATCCCCCCCCCCCCCCATCTCTCTGCAGGAGCTAGCTGATGAACTGGCCTTGGTGGACGTGATGGAAGACAAGCTGAAGGGAGAGATTATGGATCTGCAGCACGGCAGCCTCTTCCTTAAAACACCCAAGATAGTCGCCGGCAAAGGTTAGTCTGTAGCAATGGGACACTAGGAAACCAGAGAGCCAAGATGGCCGCCCCCTGCGTGTCAAATGTCTTTGTGATATTCAGTACCCTTACTGACTGAGGGGACCACGATATAAATACATGTTTTGACTTTTTAGTATAATTCTCAACGATTTTATTGGTCACGTTGTCTTTTAATATGTGTTAAAATGTTCTAATAAACTAAAATTGAACTTCTTAATTTCTCTCCCACGGCCAGACTACTCTGTGACGGCTAACTCTCGCATCGTCGTGGTAACGGCGGGCGTACGTCAACAGGAAGGAGAGAGCAGGTTGAATCTGGTACAGAGGAATGTCAACATCTTTAAACACATCATCCCCCAGATCATCAAACACTCCCCCAACTGTATCATCATCGTGGTCACCAACCCAGGTACACACACACACACACACACACACACACACACACACTAGTGTTAGTGACTCCAATTATTTGTTAAAGCAGTGTAGTCTAAGCCCAGATGTCTCTCCCTGGCCGTAGTTGATGTGCTGACCTATGTGACCTGGAAGTTGAGCGGCCTGCCTAAGTACCGCGTCATCGGCAGCGGCACCAACCTGGACTCCGCCCGCTTCCGTTACCTGATGGCCGACAAACTGGGCATCCACGCTACCAGCTTTAACGGATGGATCCTGGGAGAACACGGAGACACCAGTGGTAAGTGTCCGGTGTGTGTGTGCGTTTGTGCACGCGCGTGTGTGTGGTGCGTAATTAGGACAAATGAAAAAATACACACTCAGGAAGTCAGGACATGTGTGTTTTTGTACCATTCAAATTTGCTTTTGAATTCTTCTACTATAAATAGTAGCAACCCCCTCCTTTAGGGTTACTGTGATAAAGGTGAGACGTGAGAGACCTGTTAATCTGTCTGGGCCTTAAGAAGTGAACCTTTAATTAGGTTAACACTGTGAGTGTTCTCTAGTCCCTGTGTGGAGCGGTGTTAACGTAGCAGGCGTTAACCTGCAGACGCTGAACCCTGACATCGGTACTGATGCTGACCAGGAGAACTGGAAGGAGACGCACAAGCAGGTGGTCAACAGGTAATGTAGGCCTACACAGTCCTATTCAAGCAACCTGTTATCTCTATTACTATTGGTGTAAATTGTTGTCAATTAAAATGTAATTTCTGTAGTTCTGCTCTCTCACTGTAATGGAGTTCTGTAAATGTAGTGCTTAAGGTCACAACGGCAGTCTGGTTGCCTGCTCACTTCCACAATAATCTTTACTGTCAGCCCTGGGATTCGAACTGGCAACCTACCGGTTACTACCCTGCTTCTCGAACTGCAAGGCTACTGAGATTTTAAAATGTGACTGTGTGAGTTTCAGTGCCTATGAAGTGATCAAGCTGAAGGGCTATACTAACTGGGCCATCGGCCTGAGTGTAGCTGACCTGACAGAGAGTCTGATCAGGAACATGAACAGGATCCACCCTGTCTCTACCATGGTCAAGGTAAGAAGGACACACACAGTACTGTATATGTAAGTGAGAGTGTAGAATGTGTGTAAGTGTGTAGACAATGTATGTAATGTACAAGCACACACCTACACCCACAGATTACAGTATACCCAATGCACAACACAACAACACATATATATTATATAGAGATATATCCAGTAGTGTTCTCCACTCATTACCTGTATTAACTGCACCTGTTTGAACTCGTTACCTGTATAAAAGACACCTGTCCACACACTCAATCAAACAGACTCCAACCTCTCCACAATGGCCAAGACCAGAGAGCTGTGTAAGGACATCAGAGATAAAATTGTAGACCTGCACAACGCTGGGATGGGCTACAGGACAATAGGCAAGCAGCTTGGTGAGAAGGCAACAACTGTTGGCGCAATTATTAGAAAATGGAAGAAGTTCAAGATGATGGTCAATCACCCTCGGTCTGGGGCTCCATGCAAGATCTCACCTCGTGGGGCATCAATGATCATGAGGAAGGTGAGGGATCAGCCCAGATCTACACGGCAGGACCTGGTCAATGACCTGAAGAGAGCTGGGACCACAGTCTCAAAGAAAACCATTAGTAACACACTACGCCGTCATGGATTAAAATCCTGCAGTGCACGCAAGGTCCCCCTGCTCAAGCCAGCGCATGTCCAGGCCCGTCTGAAGTTTGCCAATGACCATCTGGATGATCCAGAGGAGGAATGGGAGAAGGTAATGTGGTCTGATGAGACAAAAATAGAGCTTTTTGGTCTAAACTCCACTCGCCGTGTTTGGAGGAAGAAGAAGGATGAGTACAACCCCAAGAACACCATCCCAACCATGAAGCATGGAGGTGGAAACATCATTATTTGGGGATGCTTTTCTGCAAAGGGGACAGGACGACTGCACCGTAGGATGGATGGGACCATGTATCGCGAGATCTTGACCAACAACCTCCTTCCCTCAGTAAGAGCATTGAAAATGGGTCGTGGCTGGGTCTTCCAGTATGACAACGACCCGAAACACACAGCCAAGGCAACTAAGGAGTGGCTCCGTAAGAAGCATCTCAAGGTCCTGGAGTGGCCTAGCCAGTCTCCAGACCTGAACCCAATAGAAAATCTTTGGAGGGAGCTGAAAGTCCGTATTGCCCAGCGACAGCCCCGAAACCTGAAGGATCTGGAGAAGGTCTGTATGGAGGAGTGGGCCAAAATCCCTGCTGCAGTGTGTGCAAACCTGGTCAAGACCTACAGGAAACGTATGATCTCTGTAATTGCAAACAAAGGTTTCTGTACCAAATATTAAGTTCTGCTTTTCTGATGTATCAAATACTTATGTCATGCAATAAAATGCAAATTAATTACTTAAAAATCATACAATGTGACTTTCTGGATTTTTGTTTTAGATTCCGTCTCTCACAGTTAAAGTGTACCTATGATAAATATTACAGACCTCTACATGCTTTGTAAGTAGGAAAACCTGCAAAATCGGCAGTGTATCAAATACTTGTTCTCCCCACTGTGTGTATATATATATATATATATATATATATATATATATATATATATATATATATATATATATACAGTACCAGTCAAAAGTTTGGACACACCTACTCATTCAAGGGTTTTTCTTTATTTGTACTATTTTCTACATCGTAGAATAATAGTAAGGACATCACAACTATGAAATAACACATATGGACTCATGTGTCTCCCGAGTGGCACAGTGGTCTAAGGCACTGCATCGCAGTGCTAACTGTGCCACTAGAGATCCTGGTTCGAATCCAGGCTCTGTCGCAGCCGGCCGCGACCGGGAGACTCATGGGCGGCGCACAATTGGCCCAGCGTCGTCCAGGGTAGGGGAGGGAATGGCCGGCAGGGATGTAGCTCAGTTGATAGAGCATGGCGTTTGCAACGCCAGGGTTGTGGGTTCGATTCCCACGGGGGGCCAGTATAAAAAAAATAATATATATATGTATTCACTAACTGTAAGTCGCTCTGGATAAGAGTGTCTGCTAAATGATTAAAATGTAAAAATGTAATGTAGCAACCAAAAAAGTGTTAAACAAATCATAATATATATTATATTTGAGATTCTTCAAATAGCCACCCTTTGCCTTGATGACAGCTTTGCACACTCTTGGCATTCTCTCAACCAGCTTCACCTGGAATGCTTTTTCAACAGCCTTGAAGGAGTTCCCACATATGCTGAGCACTTGTTGGCTGCTTTTCCTTCACTCAGCTCTCCGACTCATCCCAAACCATCTCAATTGGGTTGAGGTCGGGGGATTGTGGAGGCCAAGTCATCTGATGCAGCACTCCATCACTCTCCTTCTTGATAAAATAGCCCTTACACAGCCTGGAGGTATGTTGGGTTATTGTCCTGTTGAAAACAAATGATAGTCCCACTAAGCGCAAACCAGATGGGATGGCGTATCGCTGCAGAATGCTGTGGTAGCCATGCTGGTTAAGTGTGCCTTGAATTCTAAATAAATCACAGACAGTGTCACCAGCAAAGCACCATAACACCTCCTCCTCCATGCCTTACGGTGGGAACTACACATGCGGTGATCATCCGTTCACCCACACCGCGTCTCACAAAGACACAGCGGTTGGAACCAAGAATCTCACATTTGGACTCCAGAACAAAGGACACATTTCCACTGGTCTAATGTTGCTCGTGTTTCTTGGCCCAAGAAGGTATCTTCTTCTGATTGGTGTCCTTTAGTAGTGGTTTCTTTGCAGCAATTTGACCATGAAGGCCTGATTCACACAGTCTCCTCTGAACAGTTGAAGTTGAGATGTGTCTGTAACTTAAACTCTGTGAAGCATTTATTTGGGCTGCAATTTCTGAGGCTGGTAACACTAATGAACTTATCCTCTGCAGCAGAGGTAACTCTGGGTTTTCCATTCCTGTGGCGGTCCTCATGAGAGCCAGTTTCATCATAGCGCTTGATGGTTTTTGCCACTGCACTTGAATAAACTTTCAAAGTTCTTGAAATGTTCCGTATTGACGGACCTTCATGTCTTAAAGTAATGATGGACTGTCGTTTCTCTTTGCTTATTTGAGCTGTTCTTGCCATAATATGGACTTGGTCTTTTACCAAATAGGGCTATCTTCTGTATACCACCCCTACCTTGTCACAACACAACTGATTGGCTCAAATGCATTAAGAAGGAAATAAATTCCACAAAATAACTTTTAAGAAGGCACACCTGTTAATTGAAATGCATTCCAGGTGACTACCTCATGAAGCTGGTTGAGAGAATGCCAAGAGTGTGCAAAGCTGTCATCAAGGCAAAGGGTGGCTATTTGAAGAATCTCAAATATAAAATATGTTTTGATTTGTTTAACACTTTTTTGGTTACTACATGATTCCATATGATGTTATTTCATAGTTTTGATGTCTTCACAATTATTCTACAATGTAAAAATAAAGAAAAACCCTTGAATGAGTAGGTGTGTCCAAACTTTTGACTGGTAGTGTTTATATATATATATATATTAGTACATACAACAGATATAAATGCATGCACACAAATTACACACACCCCTACACTGCTCTAAATTGTCCATGCTGTTGATCTATAGGGCATGTACGGGATCAAGGACGAGGTGTACCTGAGTCTGCCGTGTGTCCTGAACGCTGGTGGCGTGGCCAGCGTGGTCAACATGACTCTGACGGACGACGAGATTGGCCAATTAAAACAGAGCGCTGACACACTGTGGGGCATCCAGAAGGACCTGCCGGATGTGTAACAGAACACCAGGGGGCGCTACACTCCATTTACCCCCAGGGTGGTCCCAATAATATATCCTTTGTCCTTAAGTGTGGACTCCTTCACAATCTTCTAATCTAGATTCACACAATCCAAAAGCATTGGATTGCTGGAGGCATGGGCTAGTGCGAGTTTCCACCATATTTCTTATACTAGTAATTTCCTTTCAAATCAATGAAGGGAAGTGAACTAGTGCACACTTTTGGAGGAAGGCGAGATAATTGTGACAGAGCCCCACTCTCCTGATCACCTATAACTCAACATATGCCACTTAGCAAACAGTTGCTTTTATCCAAAACGATTTACAGTACAGTGATTGCATATATTTTGAAAGTGTATTTGTTCCCTGGGCTAATTCCCGTCATTCATTTTAAATGTATGAACTCACTAACTGTAAGTCGCTCTGGATAAGAGTGTCTGCTAAATGACTAAAATGTAAATGTAATTGAACCCACAACTTTTCCATTGCTAGCACTACACTCTTAACAACTGGGCTACACTGTAAAAAAAACTTACAAAACTTCTAAAAATGTCATTGCTCCTATCTTGCACTTGTACTGTTCTTAGCTTCCCTGGCATCTGGAGGGGGTTGGGTCACCATAGAAATAGGATATAGTAATTCTATTTCTATGTTGATCCCATGGTCGTGGGTACTTGGTGTCAGGGTTACTGCTTTACTGGAAAAGGGGCAGATTGAAGCGTCTTTGGGTTGGTGAACAGCGCTATAAAAAAATAAACATTTATTCAGGTGTGGGATCAGCAAATGGTTCAGTCAGAATGAAGGGAAATATAATCTGTCAATCATGTTGTTTGATGTGTAAATTAATAAAGCAAGATTATTTATTGGTGCTGGAATTATGCTTAATTTATTAATGTATTAATTTATTTATTAATGAAGTCCTGTCTCATTTCTTTAGTTTCAGAGACTGAATCATTTTTAATCAATGGTATTTTATTTGGTTAAGATTTAGAAGTGTATGCCTTCTAAAAAAATATTTTTGGGGGCTACTTAGTTTAACTGTATTTTTAATCAATAATGATTTAAAGGGCCAATCAGCAGTTGAAACAATAACAAAGCATCGAGCATGGAGAAATGTAATCACTCTCAACTTCATAGACAGTTATGGATGCAAGAACTGACCATCCATTATATCAAAGTATAGTCTTAAAAATGTTTTGAGGCTATACAGTGTTTGTTTACATTTACATTGTTTCAAACATTGGAGTAAAACAATCTTATATTTTGGGTTTTGAAGGGGGACGACAGTTGAACTCAGCTCATGAGGCATTTATACATTATACTCTTCAAGAATCAATGGGTACAAGATCATGAATTTAAAGGGTTTGCCCCTTTAAGGCATGCATTAACACTTGTTAACACAGCCCTTTATAAGGGTTGTTTTCAGTTATGCTCCGATTGAGCCCTAGGCCTAGGGTGGAGTGTCACCGTACTGTTTTGTAGCAGACAGATTATGCCTCTATGTGCAACCTCTGTTTGTCACTGCCCTAACAGCAGACACGCTATTCCCCAAGTCTGACCCATAGAAATGTGTCTTGTCATGTCGTCCCACGTCGGTATGAGACGGGTATGGATGGTGTTCAGAGTGGTGTTTCTGACAGCGTCTGAAATGGCACCCTATTCCAGGGGTCTGATCAAAAATAGTGCACTTTATAGGTAATAGGGTGTCATTTTGGATATAAACGATGTGAAGTAAGGTGCTCTGTCAGTTGTCTACTTCACTTTCTTCTCTTCTCAACGCTAGAGTTTACTGTGATGGGAAATCCCTTATGAATGAAAGTCCAGCACGGAACACAGCAATATAGTTGTTCAGGAAAACAGCTCAAGTGACATTGGAGAGCTTTAAAAATAATAATTTTTTAAAAATACCAAAGTGATTTACTGCATTAATAATAATAATATAATTTTAATCGTTTTATTCAATGCATTACCAAATTGGTAGTACATAAATAATTTTTCACAACATGAAAAATGTAGCGTTCAACATTGTAGTTGGTTTTCAACTTGGTTGGTCTTGAAAATATAAATATTTTCCCTGGCTGCAAATAAATAATGTATTACATGTCATTATGTGAAACTGGGTCAAGCTAAAGAAAGGAGTGGCACTTTAGAAGGTCTCACTAGCCAGCTGCTGTAGATGTTTTAGGAGAGCTGATGCCACCGAGACCTTTTCAGCCCATCAGCGTTCTCCTTGCAGGTCACTGTCAAGACACCACACCAGTGGCGACCCGTCATTCAGGGCGAACCATCATTCATTTTTTTGTGACTGTTTTGCATGTTATTTTGGCATTAATACATGTCACATATCAGTTTGCAAACAATGTAATTTTTTAAAAAGTTGAGTAAGGCAGCTCCAAAATGCAGGTGTTTCAGCCTAGCTCAGTGCTATCTGTGGTGGTGGGGCACCCAGCGGAAAATACAGAGCATAAGGGTTGGTAATGTTCTCTAGTTGGCCGTGATCGGCTCAGTGTTCTGTCACTCATGGGGACACTACGTCACTGCAAAATCTACAGGGAGAGCGTGAGTAGAAGTCAAGCCCCTTGGGTGCTGCCATAGATTTACATTAAAAGTGCCCATCCAAGAAGGCTCAAGGTCATTGGCCACAGATAAAATGAAGTCAAATCACGTTATATCTACCGTAGCTTTGATTGGACTGATCATATCAACATCATACTTTCAAAATCATAGCTAGCAAGCTAGACAAGCAATCATCATCATGAATCAAATCGACAATCTACTGGCAAATCCTTTTCAATCATATTAAGATAAATTATAGATAATACCTATCGGTGCTCATCGGCCATTGGACATAAACATTACACAAGTTGGAAATCGCAAATTCAACAATGAGTGGTTTGGAAGGAATCAGTGGCTAACTGCAAGCGTTGCAAAGCAATCACTAGCCTGCTATTCAGTGGAGAGGGTGTGTGGTCCAAGTCTGGGTTTAAGGGTCTCTTTTCCAAGCTTAAAAGGATAAACATTCACATACAACACAATGGGCCAGAAAGGGTTGAATACATTGGCCATGCTATCAATCCAGGAATGACTTCTGCCACGTTCAAAACAACTGGAAACTCGGAACTGGCAAATCTCAGACTTCAGTGAGTTCAAGACAACTGGGAACTCGGGGGAAAAAACGAGCTCCGACTGGGAAAATATGTTTTGAACGGTCATCCAACACGGAATTCCAAGTCAGGAACTCTAGCCTCTTTCTAGAGCTCCGACCTGAAGTTCACTGACATCATGATTCAACCTTGTTTTTTTTCCAAGTTCCCAGTTGTCTTGAAAGCACCGTAAATCCAGAGAATGACAGACTTTGATGACAAAAATGTATGACAAAATTTGCCCACAAGAAGGACCGCTGCGCCACCTTCCTGTTCAAGTGACCACAGCACAACAAGGTGAGTCCAAAAATGTATTGTATGCTGCTGCATAAATGATGTAATATGCCAGGGAGATACGTATACTGTAGCTAAGAAAGTAATACCAAGTATATGTTGTGTAGTAAGCTGTTAGTAGCCCATGTGCCTCACCCTAATAATTTGGACCCTTTCCCCCTCATAACTTAGCCTACTGTTCTGACTTGGTGGTGCACATGTAGCCTACAGCCTGTTTTAGAGAAATGTAATAATATCAAATATTGTAAGAGCTTTCATTGGCTGCTTATATTCCCCCTTTATTTATCCTACGGTTGTGACTTGAGAATACAGGGAGAATACTGTAACAACGGCCCATGTTCTGAATTATGTTACTGTACATTTCAAAAGTGCTGAACAAATAGTTATACTGACTACGTCCGTCTCAGCTTGCTCATAGTCTCAATCGAAATTACAGATTGTCTCTTATCCGCTCGTCGTTCCCTTATGCCATAGTTTGTACATCTCAATTGTCAGTAGTAACCAGATTTGTTTAAGCAAGTCAGCCATATCAGCTATGTTTTTTCAAAAGGCAGTAAATGAGGCTGAATGAACTGTTTCGCTGCCAGACAAGGCTCCACTGATAGCCAGGTGTAGCGGTGGTAAGGATTCACTCCATGGTGCTGAAAAGAAAGCTCTGCTGTTGGGACAGCTTTATGTAGGCCCTAACAGTTTGTGGGCACTGTTTGTCACCATTATAGTGCAATGAATGTATTGTTTAGTGTTGTGTTGTGTAGTGGCTTTGCTGGCATGCATTCATAGAACACAGAGTATGCATAACCTGTGTTCACTGGATTACCCCGCTTATTGTTCCTAATGATACATTTTATTTACATTTTACATTTACGTCATTTAGCAGACGCTCTTATCCAGAGTGCATACATTATTTAATTTTTTCATACAGTTCCCCCGTGGGAATCGAACCCACAACCCTGGCGTTGCAAACGCCATGCTCTACCAACTGAGCTACATCCCTGCCGGCCATTCCCTCCCCTACCCTGGACGACGCTGGGCCAATTGTGCGCCGCCCCATGGGTCTCCCGGTCGCGGCCGGCTACGACAGAGCCTGGATTCGAACCAGGATCTCTAGTGGCACAGCTAGCACTGCGATGCAGTGCCTTAGACCACTGCACCACTCGGGAGGTTATATGAATGAGAAATGGAGTCGGTGTCTTCTAACCGCTCTAGGCTCACTGGTGGTGCTCTAGGCTCACTGGTGGTGCACTAGGCTCACTGGTGGTGCTCTAGGCTCACTGGTGGTGCACTAGGCTCACTGGTGGTGCTCTAGGCTCACTGGTGGTGCACTAGGCTCACTGGTGGTGCACTAGGCTCACTCGTGGTGCTCTAGGCTCACTGGTGGTGCTCTGGGCTCACTGGTGGTGCACTGGGCTCACTGGTGGTGCACTAGGCTCACTGGTGGTGCACTAGGCTCACTGGTGGTGCTCTGGGCTCACTGGTGGTGCTCTGGGCTCACTGGTGGTGCACTGGGCTCACTGGTGGTGCACTAGGCTCACTGGTGGTGCACTAGGCTCACTGGTGGTGCACTAGGCTCACTGGTGGTGCACGAGACCAGAGAAGGTCATACCTCCCATGCGCTTTTCTGTTTGAGAA